CAGCAGGGGAGTTGAAGTACCTTTTAAGGTACTCCCGTTGTTGCTTCTTGTTCAGAGTGTCTCTGTTCCTTCCTTCTGGTGGTGCGTTCACCATCCTGCCATTGGACCTCATCTCTCCAGTTGCCAGGGACCAGATTGTGTCCCTCATCCTCATGGTCCACCTCGTTCACTAAGATGACTGGAACCCTTCTCCTCAAGAAGTTGTGGAGCACGACAGCAGCCTCAATGATGTCTCGCACTGTAATGAAATTGAAATGTATTTATCACACATGCAGAAAATATCCCGTATTCAGTACATTACAAATAACCATCATTAAACAATTTCTTTACATATAGGCCAATCATAAAAATGTACTACACATATTATTACAAGTATTTATAAAAACACTGGTGCAGTATTGAGACTTACCTGTGTCTGGTCTCTGTTCCAAAGTTCCAAGGAAGCATCTGAATCGCTTGGCCAGGATCCCGAACGCATTCTCCATGAAGAAAACGTCTGTTTATCGAGATTTTTTTTCGAAAATGAATAAATATATCAATATTTATACAACCTGGTGATGTTATACTATAAGTTTTTCTGGCTATTTTAAAACATGTTTCTTTCAAATTCACCAACTGTAACATTCAATTTTGTCCAAGAAAAACTTCACATGCTTCTAACAGACCCAATTTAGTCATTTACCATACAATTCCAAAGTTTGGTTACCCTCTTTAGTCACCGGGTCGAAAATATTCGCCATCACAGATCAAATTCGTCTAAGCTGTTGCCGAATGGCAGCATTCAAAGATCAAATGGCAGCATTCAGAGGTCTGGCGCAGACGAGACGAAATCGAATATTCCAGGACAAAACGTGTGCTAATGGTTTGAATTTGCTTGAAGTGAAATTTAAATTGTCTAACAAATGACGAAATTAAACAATTGAAGTGCACCAAATCTTTGTTTCACGAAGGAGCGATTTTCCGTAAAAAACTGGTCACAGTTTGCATTGACAGCAAATGAAATGTTATAAGATGCGGGACGAGTCTATGAAATACCGGTTGTAATAACACCAACAGCAAATTTAGACCAAACGATAATTATTTTGTTTTTGCAAAATCGCAATAAATTATCTTATTTAGCTTGTGTGAAATGCTTGGGGGAGCTTGGGGAGCGGAGGGTTCGTCGTCCTTAAAATATTTGTGTTGAATATGCGCTCTTATCAATATAATAATTATATTGTATTGTTATGTCTACGTGATATTTAAGCGTGTATGGTTACAAACGTGTATGTGAAAAGCTGAGTCAAAATCGATCGATTAAAATAAATGCCCACAAAAAAAAGAACCCAGACTCAGTTTGAATGGTAGTGAACTTTATTTTTGAAACATTGAATTTACAGTATAACGTAAATTGTATGCATGGTAAATGTATCTATCAATGATATTAAAACCTTGCAAAAACCTCATTAGGGTATGTACCACTTGCTTTTAACGTTTGAAATGTGTATTTACGTAAACCTGAATGATAAACACATTGTTGTTGGCCTATTTATATTGTACAGCAGGTGGTTAAATCTTGTAAAAGTTATCCTTCTAAACACCTACATGTACCTGTTATACATAAGGGAATAAATGTGTGCTTGGCCGGTTTCAAACACTCTGTTTAAGACTGGTTGGTGTCTGGATGCAGATAATTACCCGAGCCGAATTCCCATTCACTCTGTGATCATGTTCAGCTTGAGAAGTACCATGGATGAGTACATCGTCCATGTGGCATATGACTCCCTCGAGGCCCTCCAGAATACCAGACATTGTCTGCTGGAATATTTCTGGTGCAGAGCTTATGCCGAATGGCAGCCTGTTGAAACAGTATCGACCGAAGGGCGTGATGATTGGCGCAAGCAATTTTGACTGATCGTCCAGTGGAAGTTGCCAGAATCCACTGTTGGCATCGAGCTTGGAGAATATCGTGCTTTTACCCAGCTTGGCCAGACTTTCGTCGACAGACGACATGGGGTGAATCTCGCGCTCGACCCCTTTGTTGAGGTCGACACATATGCGCACATTGCCATTTGATTTGGGCACTGGAATAATTCCCTAGTTCGCCCAGGTTTTTCCCACGTGACACTCACATGAGCCCGCCCATATTCAACCCACATTGGATTGCCGCTTTTCCCCATATGACACCCATAATGGGCCAGGCGGTGTTCTGCCCACTTGCTTTCGCCCACGGTTTTCCCATGTGATACCCTTATAGGCCAGCGCGAACATGGGTTTGCCCAGCTTTTTCCCTAATGACACCCATGGGCCAGCCCGTGTTTTTCCCACACACCCGGTTTTCACCATTTACCCAGTGGCGTCGCCAAGGGGGGGCCAGGGGGGGCACGTGCCCCCCTGGAAAACCTAGTGCCCCCCCCCCCCCCGAGTGCCCCCCCCCCCCCCATCTGAGATTTGGGTTGGTAAAAAAATATATATATATTTTGTTATATTCAACTCCCATCATCTGAGTTGGTTAAATAGCAATTTCTGGAGATATCTTCAGATCGAATTTAGCATCAAATGTGGCACCATTTTGCATCTAGCCCATCCTCCGTATGCGAAAATTTTCCAGGACGGCGATCCGTATCCACCTAAGTGCCCCCCATCAAATGCTGGTGCCCCCCTGTGCCCCCCCAGACTGAAAAGTCTGGTGACGCCACTGCATTTACCCCCATATGGGTCAATCTGTATTCTGCCTACATGGAGTTGCCCAGTATTATGACACCTATACGGGCCATCCCGTATTTTGCCGACACCGGCTTGCCCAGGTTTTTTTTCCAATATTTCACCCACATGGGCCAGCCAGTACTAGTATTCTGCTTACATGTGTTTGCCCAGGTTTTTCCCCAATGACACCCATATGGGCCACCAGCCCGTATTTTGCCAATTATGAGCGTGCCCAGGTTTATCCCATATGACGCCCACATGGGTCAGCCGTATTTTCCCCACATGGGCTTGCCCAGCTTTTTCCCTAATGACACCAATATGGGCCAGCCCATATTTTGCCCATAACAGCGTCCCCAGGTTTATCCCATATGACGCCCAAATGATTCAGCCCGTATTTTCCCCACATGGGCTTGCCCAGCTTTTTCCCTAATGACACCCATATGGGCCAGCCCGTATTTTGCCCATTATGAGCGTGCCCAGGTTTATCCCATATGAGGTATGACGCCCACATGGGTCAGACGGTATTTTCGCCACATGAGTTTGCCCAGGTTTTTTCCCAATGACACCCATATGGGCCAGCCCATATTTTGCCCATATGAGCGTGCCCAGATTTATCCCATATGACGCTCAAATGGGTCAGCCCGTATTTTTCCCACACGGGCTTGCCCAGCTTTTTCCCTAATTACACCCGTATGGGCCAGCCCATATATGAGCGTGCCCAGGTTTATCCCATATGACGCCCACATGGGTCAGCCCGTATTTTCCCCACATGGGCTTGCCCAGCTTTTTCCCTAATGACACCTATATGGGCCAGTCCGTATTTTGTCCATATGAGCGTGCCCAGGTTTATCCCATATGACGCCCACATGGGTCAGCCCGTATTTTCCCCACATGGGCTTGCCCAGCTTTTTTCCTAATGACACCCATATGGGCCAGTCCGTATTTTGCCCATATGAGGGTGCCCAGATTTATCCCATATGACGCCCAAATGGGTCAGCCTGTATTTCCTCCACATGGGCTTGCCCAGCTTTTTCCCTAATGACACCCAGATGGGCCAGCCCATATTCTGCCCGAATGGGCTTGCCCAGTTTCTTCCCATATGACACCCATATGGGAAAGCCCAGGTAGACCCCCATATGGGATAACCCATATGGGTCCCATATGGGAAACATAGAGGTTTGCCCATACCCAGGTTGCCCAGATACTTCCCATATGGGCCCCATATGGGCTTGCTACCTGGGCAGTTGGTACAGTCAGTGGCGAAATCACTCCTTGTTTCAACATTGATTCGATTTCTAGTTTTACCTTTGGAAGAAGCGGATGCGGAATTTTCCTTGGCGTATGTTGACTCACAGGCTTGGCACTTGGGGCGAGTTTGATGTGGTACTCCGTCTTGAGTTTGCCCAAACACCTGAAAAGAGCTGGAAATTCAGCACGGAAACTGGCTGGTGGTGAACTTGGTTGAACCTCATTGATTTGTTTGATGAGGCCAAGTTCGACGCATGCTTTTTTGCTGATCAAGGAACAGTGCTGGTTTTGGATGACGTACAGTTGTTCCTTGATTTGTCCCTGCCGATACTGTAGTGTTGCATCTAGCACACCAAGTACAGGAAGATGGGTGCCACCTGGTCCGCGTAGTGATTGACTCGTTGCATTTAGTTTCTGTCCAGCTAGCCAAGGCTCGGCGTCACTGACGACAGAAACTGTTGCCCTCATGTCTAACTTGAAGTATGTTTTGTGTCTATTGACGGATATCTCGGCTGTTCAGTAGTCTTTGTTGCTGGAGACTTCACCGAGGAATGGTAAGTCCGAGTCATCATCAAGCAGATCCTGCACTTCGTGAACTTTTGAACTGCGGCAGACAATTTTTAGAGTTATTAGTATGTCATCGGCACAACCACCCATAGCATAGAGCAAAGTGCTCACCTGTTCCCTTTGTTGCTTTTGAGACAGACCTGATGCTATTCGATAGCGTTTTAAGCGCTTGATCCACTTTGGCCACAACTCACTTTGACTCGGTCCATTTCCGCCATCAAATTTCCATGGTAGTGGGAGATTAGTTGTTACTTGTGGCTGTCTTGCTGCTTGGGGTGGATTAGAAGGCATTTTGCTGGTTCAGAGACCGCTGCCACAATGTAGTAATGTGACAAGAGATGGTTTTATGGGCAGGCAATGCAATGTGTTTATTCCAGGATGGCGACTTACATGGCAAGGTATCACATGTGCATAACATGGTGACACAAGAGGGCGCTATACAACATAGCCATGTTGGCTTACTCTACACCCGGGGATATTTGGAAGTCTGGGTACTTCGCTCATGATGTGTTGCCCTCCCAGTCCTCTAAATCAACGCTTAGCTCCCATGTTCCACGTGAATCATCAGACGTCAGAGTCACCAAGTTGTCATTGCCCAACCAGAACTCACCGGACAGATCGCCAAAGCCAGACTGGTACTCGGCCCAGTTACGGTAGAAGTCTACGCTGCCATCTTGTCGCCTCTGAAACACGATCCATCCTCCGCCGTCAGTTCCCATGTCACAGTAGACACGAGGACTGCCAACACCGAATCCCTCTGGGTAGATTGTGTATGTACCGCTTGAACGATAACCGGCATCTAAGAGCATCTTGCAACTTCTGTAGCGATTCAAGGAGCTATCAGTCAATGAGTAGTGAGGTGTGTCCCCATCTGCATCAAAGCACGCACTCCCTTGAGTTGTATAGAAGTTTTCGGGATGCTCTCATCTTGTAGAAAGGTTCAACTTACACATTTACTGCAGTCGTTAAAATTAAACGACTTGCAACGTTCATCCATGCTGCATTCTCGTCCGCAGAGGACACGAGATCGCACAGTTTTAATAGCATTATGCAAATTCTCTTAATGCGCGATTTTCAGCAGCATAAAATGTATGTTCGCTTGTATAAGATGAAGTTTCAACTCCAGAGACAGACAGAATAGCTCCCTGAAATACAAGGGTTGTAATGTAAATTAAATTCAAAACAAAGATCTTTATCGCCATCTTCTCCTCTTGAAACAAAAGATTCAACGTCGCAATCAGTTTGTTCTTGAAAGAAATCTAGCGATTTGTCGGGTCTGATTAAATAAATGTCGGTAGCGATTATAAAACTGCATATATCGTAAAATCACTGCCTTGTAATTCGACGAGAAACGTTTGTATGTCTTGCTCCAGAGCTGAGGATAAAATGATATACCCCGATATCTTCTTCTTCTTCTTCTTCCATTAAGTACATCCCTCCATAGTGGAGTATTGTCGTACTTGGGTGCAAAAGTGCTCGGTCACGGGAACACATATTAACGAAGAGTGCAGTAAGCTAATTTAGAACTTGGTGCAAGTAAAAACGATGCCCCTGTGGCATAACTAGTAGAGGGTGAGAGGTTTCAAGCTAGTCCGGAAAATCTCCAGTGACTGAGCTGAAACCACGGTGGCTGGAAGGGCATTCCAGATGCAGATGACACTTGGAAAAAAGCTGTGCTGGTATGATAGGATTCTGCAGTGCTGTTGTGTGAACTGCTGTGTTATCACACTGAAGATAGCTCTAAATGATGTAGAGGACCGGCAGGGACGGTAGAATTGGACCTCATGCCACGTCAACGGCTCGTGATTGGTCAATTCTACTGCCTGAGACATACGTAGCTTTTGATTGGCTGAACCTATGTGGGCGTGTCATCTTTAATAGAGAACGTTATAGAGCACTTAAGTCATTATCGATCACCATATCAAGGCAAGTGGTGTAATAATAAAGCTACAGCCTTTGATATCAATTTCACGCTCATTGATTCAATGCTTAAAATAATAAGAGGGCTCTTTTGGATTTCACGAGCTGTCGGTTAACGAAGACGTGCGGTATTCAATTTAAGCAGCACTCTTAATTAAAAAGACGAACCGATGATACAATTTTCCTCCTACGATATAAATTCTGTTCCAGCGATCTTATGGATTATAGGGGAGGCTGAGGCTTGTTGTTATTTGGATGGTTACCATGACTACACTCTTTTACAGCAGGCAGCCATTCCCTCGATGTTATGGTACACAGCTCGGCCTACTTACTGACACCGTATATTTAACGGAGTACCAGGAATAAATTACCAACACGCTTAAACCGATGCATAATACGAGTGCCAAGGCCGACGAGGGAATTCGGATCAGTAGAGTATTACCAAACAAAATCAATTCAAAAGTATTCCGCTTAAAAGAAGCAAAAAAAATCCGACCTCAATACTTATTTCTGAAATATGTGTTAATTTGAAACAAAGAAAAAAATCTTAATTATGTTAGATATACGCCGTCATTCAATAAAATAAGGCCTCATTTATGTTTTCGTTTTACTTACAATGCATAAAGGGCCAAATAGGTTTTTTTAGTTTGTATACGGCGTCCAAATTGTACATGGAGTGTTTTTGTTGTTGCCACGACGTCACAATGGAAAACACACATTTTAAAAGTGATAATGTTTTCATGCGACCCAACCAACTTTTACGCTGAATACTTTTGATTACATCAATGGAAAAAGGAAGTTTTTTTTAGGATGATTTGACGTAATGATTCACAATGAACGGTAAACACATATAATGTCACGTTAAAAATACAATTACCAAGATGAATCATTCACTTGCTATTTTCTGATCGGCTTTTGTCTCATCACGCATCAAAACACAACTGAACACTGCAGTTTGATGAGAAGCATCAGCTCTAGACATAAAGTTCGAGCGAGGACCATTAGTCGAGTAATGGTTGATAAGGGACGTTATTACGCCTGCGAACTAATAGCAACTCGCGAACGCCTCAAGTCAAACGAACGATGGCCAAACGTCCTGGCTCCCCATTGTGCTTTACGGTGCGCACAGCTATTGGTAACCAGCGATGGAACCGTCAACTGTGCCCCATGCTCAAATAGTCCACTAGAGTAGCCCAACAATCCTTCATTCGAGGCAAATAAAATCGAACTATTGCTAACTATTGTTCGCACCCCCAACTCGCTCATGTTGGCTGTTTTAACGTTATCGAATTTGTCTCCTTGAAAAAGGGCAGTATCCATGCCTGTGCTGCCCTCTGTAGGCTGGACGCGAGCGTTGACTGTGATGGCATGGTGCACGGCTGAATTGATTGGAGGTCCTTTGAAACCGCTGTAAACATTGGATGCTGCCCTCTATAAACTGGATGTCCGCTGTTCGCCTCACCACACAATGATGACAATTAATACGAATTACGACAAATACTACATGTTTTCCATAGCGATCGCGGTGCGGCGACCCCCACCCGATCCCACAATGCACTGCGGTAAACATTGCGTGACGTTATTAGTACAGGGGGTTATTGGTCCCGTTTTCGGAATAATAAAAATGCAGGGACGGGCCAAAACTCATTTCAGGGATTTTGAACTATAACTCCAAATTGATCAAGGGTGATTAGGTGATTAGGTGATTAGGGTGATTAGTTATGATCTTAGGGTTAAAGTCAAGGTTGCAGTGATGGCCGCAGAGGCGGATCTAACTTCCCGGAAACGGAGGGGGAGGGGTTATATCAAGGGGGCTGAGCGAAAGCGTGCCAAACGTCATGCCATTTTGGGTGGGGCAGGAGGTACACCCCCCCCCCCCCCCCCCCCCCCCCCCCCCCCAAAAAAAGAAAAAAACCTGAAGTCTACGGAGCTTTCCCTTGGATTCCAAGGAAATTTTAGAATAAAATAGGTGCTTTAGCGTTCCAATTATCATTGTTGGCCTGATGTTACTAGTTTCATAACATTATAATCAGCGGATGAAAGCCCCCCTCCCCCCCAGATTCGCCACTGGGCCTGTAGACGAGGTTACAGATGGAAGGGTAGACATATACATTTTCTTGTTTTGAAGCACAGTTCCAGTCGCCCTACAGCAGCTAATACAGCACTTAAATCACATTCTTGCAAATACATGTAGGAGACTTTGAATAAATCAAGAAAAGCTCAGTCATTGATTGGTTCTTGTCACTCGGTTTATTCAACGTCATAGGTCATTGGAACCTTTTCGTTTCGTGCCGCAATATACAAGCAAAATAGCAAACAGCAAACTGAGTGATAAGAATCAATAATGGTTTGGTTCTTATCACTCAATTTTTTCATCATTATTATGTTATTATTTACATTATGCAATGTACAGGCAAAATGGCAATTAAAGACGTTTAGGTACAACCAAATTAATCTAGTTTTCTGCTCCCTGTAGCTTTATTTTCCATATATTAAGCAGTTATCATTCAGGGTAAATTGAATTTGACTTATTTCATTTTCGGAACATAGGTATCCATAGGACAGGGCACACGTAACATTATGTGATATGTTCAGTCATAACAAAAATGGGATATCAACTTGTTTACTGATTATTATTGTTTTACAATCGTTTCTTATTTCATTCATATTTACATAATTTAAGCGCAGCGACAAAACCACAATGTACAAAAGCTGAAATCGCAAATCTCCATATTAACAACGATGACTTTGCGGATTAGTGGAAAAGCTTTTCACTTGTATTATTTTGAGAGAAAGAAAAAACCCGCCACCAAAGTTTTGAATTGATATTACTTGTTGAACTATATTTCATTGATGCAATGTTTTATTTGTACAATATTTGTTTCTCCATCAAGACTTAAAACATTTTGATATTTGGCCTTTATCCTTTTGTAAGCACGAGACAGTTTTAAATAATGCGTTGTTTTGGCTGTCATTCATCGATAGATCATATAGCTTGAGATTAAAGAAAATTTCACATTGAACCAAAAGTATTGAATATGATAATGCGCTGGAAAAATTCAATTCACTTATTATTTTGGCTGTTGAGGGCGTCCAAAAAAACCCCAGAAAAATACTTGTTTTCACGGCACAATCAGATCTGCTCTGCAGGTTAACTTGTTCTGATAGAGGTGGAACCCAGTCTACCATGTGGTAAATGAATTTTTGTCAGGACGCAAATAATTCTTAATTAGACAAGAAATTATTTCCAGATTAAACGTTAGCCCGTCGTTTCATTCGATGTCTGTGCTTTCATTCGATTTCTTCAATTACTTAGAATGATTTCAAACAGGGGAATGGATGGGGACGGTTTGACATAAAATGACGTTTTGGGGCGCTGTTATTTACAAATGTATATCAGTGAAGTAGCATCCGCGAGGGGTAAGGGGGTATTTATCCCCCTCCTCCATATTTTCTCACTAGACAGTGCCGTTTTTTTTACGAGTGCTTACATTTTGTAACGTATATCGGCAATATTGTGCCACCATGAACAGCGCCAACTACTGTCCGATAGTGCCCAAAATAGTCTGGTTCCCTGTCCGCATTGTCCTTTACACTTCAGATATGGGGACAGGTAGCTAGCGGTAAATCTTGCATACATCAGGAGGCATCCCTCCTAATATATGCAAATGATATGCATGACGTGTACAGGTCTGAATTCTGCCTTCTGAATTGAACGTCACAACGATAACGTTTGCTGGAACGAGCCTATTGCAAAACAAACAATAGCTGCGCCACGAATGTACAGTTTCGGAAGTGGTGAGCTTCGATTTTTGCTGAATTCGAAAATGTCTCTTGCATATATTTATAAAGAGAGAAGAATTATTGTTCAGTAATGATGATTTTGCCTACTTTTTGTGGTAAGACAAGAATAGGTGTTTTTATAATCATGCGTTGAATCACCGCCCATGCACTAGAGCTATACAGCGATTTGAAAATAAGCAATCATGATGCGCGCGCAGAGGTGGCCCAGTCAATGGTTTTAAATGGGAGCTAGCTACCGGTCCCCATATATTTAGGGGGCGGCAAATAGTCTATGCCCAAGATAGGAAGATGTTGTATATGCATCATATATGTGTTATATAAAGCCTCGTATAGCCGCATTTCAGGTATACCTGCCAAACTATTCTATTCTATCTAATCATCATTTTTCTAACAATGCACAGTTTCACATTAATCGTCTTTTCCATATTCGTTTTCATCATACTATTTAAGGCCGGGCAGAGATTTAACATCCACACTCCGGTCGGTTCCGTAATGTTGGAAAAAGTCACACCCCTCTCCGGCAGGCGTATCATACGTGGGTGAAAATATTCAAATTTGAATTGACAATAACCAGCTTAATGACACGTTCGCAAAAAACATATTCATTGTCGCATCTCACAGAGTTTCATCTGGCAGGTTTTCAGAGATAAATTGCCTTTCCAGTGGTGCCAATACACGTTATTTCCACTGCCCCCAGTTTGGTAAATCGACCATTCAAGTGGGACCGCGAACACATAACAAACCACCAGGCTCCGTGGCGGGATTGTGCACAATTTGATCCCCATGCATCATTGTCACGATCGTTTGTTGAGAAGGGACGTCCGCTGTGATACGCAAGAGAGTCACCGGCAGTGCTGCTGGCATCGTATTGGCCAATATTCAGATTGTACTCACCCAGGGATATTTGGAAATCTGCGTACTTTGCCCATGCCGTGTTGCCCTCCCGGTCCTCTAAATCAACGCGTAGCTCCCATGTTCCACGTGAATCATCAGACGTCAGAGTCACCAAGTTGTCATTTCCCAACCAGAACTCACCGGACAGATCGCCAAAGCCAGACTGGTACTCGGTCCAGTTGCGGTAGAAGTCCACACTGCCATCTTGTCGCCTCTGAAACACGATCCATCCTCCGCCGTCAGTTTCCATGTCACAGTAGACACGAAGACCGCCATCACTGAATCCTTCTGGGTAGATTGTGTAGATGCAGCTTGAACGATAACCGGCATCTAACAGCATCTTGCAACTTCTGTAGCGATCCAAGGGGCTATCAGTCAGTGAGTAGCGAGATGTGTCCTCATCTGCATCAAAGTACACACTCCCTTGAGTTGCATTGAAGTCTTCGGGATGCTCTCGTCTTGTGGCAAGGCTTAACTCGCACATTTTATTACAGTCTTTAAAGTATGTTCGCCTGTATAAGGTGAAGTTTCCAACCCGGAGACAATCAAGATAAATCCCTGGATCACCAAGGATACTATGTAAAATGACTCCAAAACAAAATGTTGTTTCGCCATTTTCTCCATCTGAAACCGTAGATAACTTGAATGATACTGATGATCGGTGGTGAGGGAATGTGGTACTGCTTCGATATGAAAGGGTAGATGCTAAGGATGAGAGTGCGTTCGATTACTTCCCCCAGCTTACTAGGCTCCTCGCGTAATGACAGACATGCGCAGTGGATCTAAATAAACGAACAGTTTCGGGTAAAGTTTCGTGCTGGAAACATGAGCGTCGCCTGGATTTTTCTAGAGGGGGGCAAAACATATTTTCAAAAAAAATCCTGTTTTTCTCAACATCTTCTCGATTTATCAGTCCCCCCCTCCCATTACAGTTACACCAATATGACTTCTCGCTTCTTTTCTTTGTTTTCCCTTTTTTTTCTCACCCCCCCCCCCCATTTTTTTTTTGCTTTTCCGGGGGGGGGGGGAGGGGGAATGTTGCAACCTGACGCCACTTTTGTCTTCATATAATCTCAATGAAGGTCATTCATTGCAAAAATTATGATAAGATATGAATCTGTGACTGAGATATATTTCCAATTTTGTTAGGAAAAAAATTCTTGACTCTCAATAGACTTTGTACACAATCGCGGAAGTGGCGTCAGGTTGCAACATTTTTTCAAGGCTGCATCCGAATCAATTAACTGTCTAGAGCATGTCCACGCCCAGCGAAAATACGCAGGGATGCTCTGACAATAATTCGTAGCCGGAGCTCCGTGCACAGAGCTACATAGGGTTTGTAGCTCTATTCTCCGTGGAAGCCCGTTTCGGACACGGCCTGAGGCGTTCGCCGGACGTTGCATGGCCTTATAGGATACTTACCCAAGTGACCGGCTCGGCGAGTCGGTTACTTGGACCAGGCTCGAGTAAGCGTGAGAAGTCACGTGAGAGGTAAATTGAACGCTTTCGCGCTTGCACGAGTATTAGCGCGGGTGAAGTAATCGAACGCGCTGTGTGTAATTTACTGATTGGTCTGCAGGTGTAACGTGGCATGCCTTGCTATTGGTCATTTTTCCCGGCAGTGATAAACCGTAGCCTTGATCTGCTAACGTTGTGATGCAGTAGTGGTAAGTGTAATATTCTCGCGTTGTAAGATATGGTTAAACGTTATTTGGCATTGAATTTTGTTTGGTTTAGTTGTAGGTTACAATATCGAGATCAGTTCTGTAATAAAAAGATGCAGTCTTTGATATCAATTTCACGCTCTTTGATTCTATTCTCAAAATTAAACGAAATTAGCCCTTATGGACATGTGCGTCGCCGGGATTTTTTCGGGGGTTGGGGGCAAAGAACTTTCCCCCCCCCCCCTCCCCCCAAATCCTTGTACTTTTTCAAGCATATTCTCAATTTATCATTTTTTCGAGGGAGGGCCTGACACACCTGGTTTTTCCTTTCTTTTTCTCTTTTTTTTTAATTTTTACTTTTTTGCTTTTTGCTCCCCCCTCGCGACGCCCATGCTTTTTTTGATTTCACCGATCTGCCAGCTAATCAAGACGTATTCAATTTTAAGCAGCACTTTTCATCAAACAATCGTACCGATGATACAAATTGGCCTCCTACGATCGATATTTTGTTCAGGCGATTTTAATGAAGTTATGTTAGGTTGAAAGCTTGTTGTTTGGGGATGGTCACTATGACTACAATATTTTGCCGAAGGCAAGCTGAATTATTCATTCAATACCATGATATACAGCTCGGCCTACTCACACTGTATAATTTATTGCGTTACCGGTAATAAAATACCCACATGCCTAAACTGCTGCAGAATGCCAAGGCCAACGAGGGAAGTCGGATCGGTTAATTATTACCAAACACATTGAAAGGTAGCTATACGCTTATGTTAAGATGCATCCAGATCCAAACTCTGTACAAATTTCTGCAATGTTTGTTATGTCGAAACAAAGTGAACAATCTTAATACTTTAGAATGATCACCGTTTACCATTTCAAATAAGTAAGGCCTCATTTATTCCTTTGTTTTGCAGACAATGCATTGAGGCTAGCATGGTTCAGTAAGCGTTACAATTATGTCAGCAAGTCTTTTATCAAATATAATCCACTTTTTACCATAACATTTGCCTTAAACGGGCATTGCGTCCTGAAATCCCGAAAATTTTATGTTTTGGATTGCTTACTTATCCTATTTCAAACATCTGGTTGAAAGGAAACCAACTAAATGTCTTATACCGTTCCCAAGAAAAGACGAAAAAACTCTGATTGTTTACATCAGACACAACGGAGTATGATACGTGTTTCCTGCCGTTTTCACACAAAGTACGATACACGTTGTGTGTGTCTAGTATTACACTAGTGCTCACAAACAGCAGTGACCAAACACCAATGCACAAAATGTGAGTTCTTACACGTCCGCAAAAGGCGAACCCTTAAGGCTGGAATCACAACTAGCACAAACAGCCCGACTTTTGGGGGTCGCAAAAGTGGACCCCGAAAGTCGTTCTCGCACGAATAACAAGAATACTACAGAAGCTCCCAGTTTTTAAAGGATAGTTGTGTGGATGTTAATATCCTACTTTTAAACGTTCTTTCCGATGATCATCGTTTCGTTCAAAATGCGTTTTGTAGACCAATTGGGCGTATTCCAGGACGCAGTGTCCCTTTAAGTTGATACGGCGCTGGATCTTGTTTAGTTTGAGCACCACCATGCCTCACGATAACAAATTAAAAATCCAAAGTTTGATTAAATTATCATCGTATCCATTTCAAAATAGCGAAAGCTTGAATTCAAATAACTATTTTTTGCAGAGCGGGTCACATATGGAGAAAGCGACACGTTGACGTCTTATTTGGTTCAGTTGCTTGTTATCATTTTCAATGTAATAATAAAAGCACCAACTGTCGCTTTCAACTACTGCGAACGATTTCACGGTAACTGATTTCTACTCTAAAATTTTAATGAAAAAGCAATTGGAACGACCATTTGGTAAAAATAAATACGTCTTCAAATTTGGCAGCAGTCTTAACAATAAACACTCCTCCACACGATAACAAGAAATACTCTGACGATGTTGATTTAGTTCCAGCGATACGGGGTAGGCATATTGTTGTTCCTCTGGTTATTACGCCTACTCCATAGAGTGAAGGCCACAAGCTAATTACTTTAACCCCTTAAGCACGGGTTATAATGGGGACATTCCTCCACACATAGAGCAAGTGGCCCGCATGACTGCACAGCCTTTGTGTTTTAGCAGGACTGCACAAAAACAGCAGCTGTGGAACTACCAACTAGCCGTGTGCCACGGCGTGCCACAGCTGGCAACTGCATTCCAATGAGGATTAGCGGCCGCGGCCATGACCGCTTTCCGGGCCCAATTGAAAAACGTTTTTGATGGCATGAAAGTGAGAAGTTTAAACACAAAATATTGGGAACTGCATCCACAACAAAACATCCGCACTCTATATCTGCCTACTAAATCCTGACGTTGGAAGAATTGAAACTGGTGATTGCTTTGCCTTAACCCTAAGAGAGTCGTATTTCTTTGGTCACATTACAGCCGGGCTGGGGCATTTTGTAAGCCAAAACGACTGTATTTAATAGCAAATGTAATTTGTGAATGAATATTTTTGAGCTGTTTGGTAGAATGTTAGTAACACCCTGAGCTGGTCTTGTTTTTTAAGATGAAGAGAGGAAAGCACCGCGGGTATAACGAGTTGTAATATCCACACCTGCTTGTCACAATCTCCACGAAAGAAAACGGAGGCATTTTGTTTCATTAGATCCTTACGACCGACACAAAGCCTCGATACGCCACTACATAAATCGATACGATAGATACAATTTCATAAAGCATTTTAGGAAGGTGATAATCTTTAGAACTGAGTGAATCCGTATTCCTGCTACTGGTAAACAGCACAACTGATAGAGTACAGGACTTCCAGTTACTTTCCTGGTTTTCTGTGTTGCCAGGACCAGCTTTGGAAGGTTTTACGAGGCCCTGGGTCCAGGAATGTGGGCGGTCCCAAGAAACACATAGACTTTTCCATATGACTGTTCTCACGTTGTGTCATTAAACCTCTGTAATGATGATCCTCAGATTCAGTAAGTAAAAGTATTGGTATAACCAAATATTACTGTTATGTAAAAAGAAAATTTAGTTTTTAAATTCATAGATATGATTTAGTTAGCAAAAGATCGGAGATGCGGTTGCGCACTTAATAAAACGTTTCCATATTCCTACAATGTTTTAGGTTAAAGAATTAAATTGTCTTATTTCTTTGTGTCAAGTGCATGCACGTTTTGTAACAATATAAATCCTAAGCATATCATAGTGTCATACAAAGATTGATCCATGGGGTAGATGCACCTCTAACTTCGTGCCATAGCATCAGGTAGCCTGCTCCATTGACAGTAGATTGAGCTTGTTGATTTGTCTGGTGTATCCCAACAATAATCACACATCTGCGCTTCCAAATCCATGTAATTGGATATTGGATGTTACCGTTACTTTACTAACACTTGGTGTGGAATCCTTTTGAAGAAATTTGAGTAGTGAAATTGATTTTGTAAAAACAAATAAAAGCGCTCAGCAATTCACGACAGCAATTATGGTAATACCCTTCCGATAATATATTAATTTTTTTTCACAGGAAAACCAACATAGGCCTCTTTTTCAAAAGATCTCATTATTTTGCTCCCCCACCACCTTAAATAAGTCTTGTTTCGTTTTTGGTTCACAAAAGCTGATAAAATTGAAAACACGTCGGTACTCGGTGATTTAGATAACTCTAAATGGTTGGGGATCGGCGTTGATAGAATTCACTACTGCCTGGAAAGGAATGGGTAGAGGTAGATGGTGTGTAATTCACTGATTGGTCATCGCAGTTAATACGGCATTCTACACCAGGGGTTTGTAATTGGTTAGTTTTG